CTGGCACAAATTTGTGCCACTCTTATTTGAGCTGCTGCAAGGTCATGTGCCTTCATGTGTGGATGTGCATATTGTGAGTCACAGCATTAAATAACAATAAGAATAAAAAAGAATAAAGGAAGATCAGAGGCTCTCATCTGAGGGGTGGGGAGAAAGGAAGCCATTTTTCTTGATGTTTCACTTGGAATTTTTAGGTGAACGCATATCACAAGGGAAGACGCAGATGCTTTACCTGCTTGCTGTGGTAGCTTTGGTCGGCCTTATAATCCTTCTTTTGGGTGTGATGATGGCAAAGCGAAAACGGAAGCATGGCTCCCTCTGGCTCCCTGAGGGCTTTATTTTGCACAGAGACTCCAGTAACCACAAACGGAGAGAACCAGTCGGGGAAGACGCAGTTGGATTGAAGTAAGGGTCTCTTCAGGTCACTGAGCACCTCTGTGCTAATGCATTCTAGGTTGTTGGAACACAAAAGTAAAAAAAATAAATAAATAACATGGTGTATAAATCCCTTATCAGAGGCACTTAAAACTCTGTGGGAAAATCACTACTTATGCCAACATTTCACATGCCTTTCTCTGAATTTACCTGTGTGCCCTTGGACAGAAGGTCTTGTACTTGGTAATCAGTCATGGATGCCAGATCTATTAATAGCTGTTGAACAGAATGGTTGGAGATATTTCCTCTGGTATCTCTTAATCAATAATGATGGATGCCAGAGAGGTTAATGAACAGGGGATAGATCACTCTAGAGATATCCGGTTTAGTGCCTTCTTTCTAAAGCATCCACCCTTGCCACTGCTGGAGACAGGATACTAGGGTAGATGGACTATTGGTCTGACCCTGTAGGGCACTTCTTATAAATTATAAGAACATAAGATGTTAATAGTGGGAGCTCTGTCTCTTGTATAAATTTAAAATGAGACTGAGCAGAACACTAAAAAAACAATTCTGCACAACCATTTGCAATGCCCTGCAAATGGGGAGATTTTTGAAGATTTTTATTTGTAGAAATAATGAAATCTTTAGGGAAAAAAAATAACATGTCCATTCATTTTCTTGATTTTTACCCCTCACCCCCAACATAGCCAGACTAAGAGCTCTAACTGTACTTGAAGTAAATTAAAATAGTGGTCCATATTTATCAAGAATAAAACTGCAGAAAAGTCAGAAGCCAATAATATGGTCCTATGTGCGTGTATTGTGGTCTGTCAATGAAATGTTTTGAGCCAACAGTGTGCTCTTGTTGGAAAAAAGGCCAGCATTGTATTGGGCTATATTAACAGGAGTGCCCCTTGTAAGGCAAAAGAAGTGCTTTTTCCATTCTGTTCAGCACTAGTGAGAACTCACCTGGAGTACTGGGTCCAGTTTTGGGGCTCCACACTTCAAGAAAGATATGGATAAATTGGAAAGAGTCGAGCGCAGAGCATCAAAAATGATTCAAGGCCTGGCAAACATGATTCATGAGGAAAGGCTGAAAGAACTAGGATTACTTAGTCTGGAGATGATGAGAGGGATGCGGGGGTTATAACACTTTTCAAATACCTGACTGGTATAGAGAGGGCAGAGAAGGGTTTTTCTGTGTGGCTGTAGGAGCAATGGACTCAAGCTGCAATGGAGGAGATTTAGATTGAAGATTAGGAGGAACTGTCTGAACATTAGGATGGTCAAACATTGGAGAAGTTGTGGAATCTCCATCCCCGGAAATTTTCAAGAGCAGATTAGACAGACACTACTTGGCTGGGATGATCTAATCAAGGATGATCTTGCCTTGAGCAGCGGGTTGGATTAGACAACCCTATGAGGGTCCTTCTGCCATATTTTCCTATGATCCTAAGGTTGCATGCTGTGAGACTGTGTGTGTTTCTTGCTAGCTTTGTGACAGGCATGAGAACAGCATGATGTTTTGGTCCACCTCTAGCAACCAGAGCTTATGTAAAAATTGGGGCTGTTAACAGCTTCCAGGTTAATGGACTTGGTCCTGAAGCTAAAACATTAGAGGTTCTAGAATGAGTGGGTTCCACAGCTATGCTGCTTGTTCTCGGTAAATGGAATAGAGCTCAAAGGACCTGCAGAGGCCACCTAACTACGATGCCACTGTTTTTTGGCCATGCAACTAGCTGCATGGCTACAATAGTGTTGTCTTATGGAAGCAATACCATCAGGACAAGAGTTAGTAGGTAATCTCTGCCTTCCAGCAGGGCTCTTGACCTCTTACTTTCTCAACTTCGCTGTTTCTTTAAAAAAAAAATATGAATTGGGTGTGGCTGGTAGTAAAATTGTTCCATTGCAGTATGTGCAACCACAGAAAATTGGACAGTTTTCGTAATTATGGTAACAGTTTGTCACTCCGTGAAATGACACAGATATCCTTTTGTTTTAGAAATCTGTCAGTACAAGTTTCTGACGGCAATCTGGCAGACTATACTGCAGGGGAACATTGGTCAGGTGACAGGGGACCTCAGCCAAAGAGAGCTAAGGTAAGAGATGTCAGGTGTTGGTTGTTGTGCCAGGTACTGAGATGGATTTTTGTTTGAGGAAAAATTTTTGTTCGTTCTGTTACGTGCCCTTGCCTACAATATTCCCATTGCCTTTAAAGAGAAATAACGCCTCCCAAAGTTAACAACCTTCCAGATGCAAACCCTGCACTTCAGATAGTGACTCCACAACCATCACTTTATCTCAGAGATCCATCCCCATGCAGAACCTCTAATCACAATGGGGACAGAAGCAGATCTAACAATGCCAATATGTCTGTGAGTTTAAGACAGTTTTCACCTGGTGGGAACTTAAAGGCTAAGAATGCCAAACTGAGGTTTAAAGGGAGATACTGATTTCAGAAAAGTGTCTTTTGATAGTATAGTGTGTGCTAATGGTTTTGAAGTGAACCTTCATTTTTCCTGCTTAGTCCGAAGATGAAGCATTGCTCCCAGAAGCAGATGAGCAGGTAGATCAATGCCAATGGACACAACAACACCTCAGGGCAGCTGACATAGATGGGACCACATCCCTTGCTCTTACACCACCTCAGGCAGATCAAGAAGTAGATGTCTTGGACGTCAATGTTAGAGGACCAGGTAAGTAATAAGTATGTCTGGTATAGCTGCAGGTCCATACATGACTCTCAATTTTTGAGCCAGCCATACCCATAAGAGTTGACATTTCTACTTCATGGACTGCTTACAATTGCAGAAAGTGTCAAGACATTAGCAGAATCACAGAAAGCCAAGCTGTAGTTGAGGTGAGACAGACCCATAGTGTAAGAAACCAGACCTAGGAGGTGGGTTTATGGTCTGTACCACATAGAGTATGGTGAAAAATAATGGGAGGGAACATATTGTGTCCAAATTGTGTGATACATTGTTGGAGAAGGAACTGAATAAAACTAGTTCAGGGCAAGGTGTCTACTAAGGACATCTTAATGGTCAAAGGAGGTGGCCAGGGCAAGGCCATGTCAGAGATTCGGGGTGAATTGCCATATTGCAAATAACCAATAGCTCAGCTACTGTCAATAGCCTTATTAATTGAACAGTCAGCACCTGAGGTTGCAAGAGCCGGTTGAGTAGTGTTGTAGATGTGGGCACACATGGATGCATATTACATAGTCTAGGAAGGAAAGAGTGAAGGTCTCTTGACCACTAAACTATCTTTTTCTGTAGCTATTGGTTTTCTTAATTAGACTATATGCTGGTTGTGAGAGTATGAGGAAGTTTCTTCTTAAACTCAGTCTGCTAACTGGCTAAATGTATTTGTGGTGTCCTGCTTTCCTTTACTGTAAATAGATACAGGGCCATGTCATCTGATAAAAGATCTGGTGGTCATTCTGTACCCCACTGAGGGTACTTTGTTCCTTGAGCTAAACAACTAGCTGTGAGGGGGTTTTTTCTTGACTACAGTAGCTGAAAATGTGACTCTCATACTGTAATATCATGGTGTTAATATCTGATCTCATTCCAGGCCTACTTCTCTATCTGTTGCAATGTAGGGGCTTCATCATTTTTAGTGATGATCAGATTTCCTTCCTAATGTTGTCTAACATACAGTTTGCTTTCTGACCCCTGTCATAATTACTAAATGAAGTGATGAGGAAACAGCTCTTCTTTGTGGGCATTAAGAGTTTACACCATCAGTTTCCTAGCTTTAGTTCAAACTAAGTTTCTAACCTTTCGGGAGTGACTGCTTCTGATGTGAATCTACTGCTACTCTCTTCACTCATCTATGCGCTGCGCAAAGTTTTACCAAGCAGCTGCAGGATGAAAATAAAACCAGGACATCCTTATTGCAGCTATTCACAGAAGACAACTGTAGAACTCTTTAATTCTGTCACTTGCAGGCTGCTGCTGTTCAAATGTCTTCTTGCAACTGCAAAGGCAGGCAGTGAAGTTAGTCACAGGGGAAGAAAGCACTGACGAAGTGAGGAGGAGAGGTAGAGTAGTGGAGAAGTAACTGTATTCGTAGACTGGTGATAGGGTAATAGAAGTCTTTCCTTGTGCAGCAGACAAGGGGCTCTTGAGAGGATGAAAACAGGTTAAGGGGAAAGGATTTGGAGCATCAGATTTCAGATGTTTCTTGGCCACCAGTTGGAGTTACCTTGTAAAGACCAGTGACAGTGCCCTAGTTAGATCTATCACCTTCCCCAAACCCATCCCTGGATGGGGAGGGGAGAAGAGGGCAGGGCTTCTCACAAAGATGTTGCCTGAAGACTTTGTATGTAGGGTTTTTACACCGTAATATTCTATAGTTCCCATTTAGAAGCAAAGGTTTTTTCCCTCTAGGTAGTACTTGCCCTGTGAATCTCTGCGGCCTGGCTTTTTGCTCTAACAACTCTTTGGTCCCAGCTCCAGCAGGGAGCCCTAGGCTGTATGGTGTCTCTCAAGTGAAGCTTCTACAAAGTGCTGTTTTGTTCTTTGTGTTGTACATGAAGTGAGTCACAGGAGGGGAACGGCATTCTTTGCAGTGGAGCTATTGCGAGCTCATAACCAATGTAATGTGTCATTATTGGCACCATTGGTAATGCCACCTGTCATTAAGTGTGCTTAATCCTCATTGCAATAAGACCCTGTCTTTGGTTGCTTAATTTTTAATTCCTCGGGCAGGAATTTTGCATGCCTGGTATCTGCCTCTGGCCAAATTCTTTGGAGTTTCAATTAAAATAGTCCAGTCTTTTCAAACAGTGAGATTAAGGAAAAATACATTGTTTTGCTCTTCTTCTTTTTTAAAAAAGTATCCTGATTGCTGTTTTCTTGAGAAGCATTTGTGTTTCTGTGCTTGGAGACTTGGTAAGAGAAAGGGACACCCTGCTGTGGGATGTGCCTTCTTGCTATCCCCATAAAAACTAGGGCAAATATAGCCAACTTGTAAGACTCTGCCAATAGCAGTCCATCCATACATGCTCAATAGAGCTTCGTTAGAGCCTAGAAGTTCAAATTTCCAAGTATTATATATGTGCGCTCACAGTCTGAGCGTACCCCATCCAGCAGAGATGCAAGGGATGATCAAGTCTTTCCATTCCACTGCTGCTTCTCTGGCCACGGTGGTGTTAGTGACCAGAGGTAAGAAAATCAGGAGTCTCCTTTGTTCTCAGTACTCCCTCAGCTGGTACCAGGGAAGTATACAAGACAAAGCAGCCTGTCTGGAAGGTAGAGGACTAAAGAACAGGGCACAGATTGGCACAGGCTCAGACACTGGGCAGAAGGTTTTATACACACCTGAGCACAGTACTTGGCATTGAACCCACAACTCCTCAATCTCAAAATTGTCTGCTATCCAGCAAATCCTGTGAAACACACTGGCAAAAGATATTTTAACCTCTGTGGACCAATCACTAAACGGGGCTAACTCCCCTCTTGTCAGCATGGAGGCAGAAAAGGATCTTG